ATACATGTTACATTTTGACATTATTTTGAGTTGGTTTTTGGTCATTCTGGCCTCATTTTAATCATTTAGTTTCAATTTGGTTGTTTCATTCATCCTTAAGCTTTTAGTCATTTTTGTTTTATTTTGATAGTTAATGTAAAATCCTTCAATGTTTTGAACACATTTGATTCCATTTCTGCTTATTTGTGTTATTTGCAGTTGTTTTGTGTCTCATTTAGTAATTTTTGGCATCTTTATAAAAGATTTCTGTTAGATTTTTCTCATATTTGTTGTGATTTTAAAGTTTTTTTTTCCATTTGAGGCCTTTTCATTAATTTAGATGGAATCCTTGTTATTTTAGAGCTGTCTTGTCTTCTCATCTTTTTCTTCATTTTTTTGTCTCAATCTTGACATTTTGGTTCTTTACTCTTGTATTTAACAACTTTTGAATCTTTGAATAATAGAACTTAGGTTTTATTTATTCAGCTTAAAAGGAGAAAACCTAAATATTTTGGGAGTTTCGGTCATTTTGGGGAGACGGAGGTGATGATTTCAGACGTTTCTGACTCGTTCGGATCGGTTTCCTGTACATCAGGCCGCTGCTATTGTTCCTACTGAATAATCCTGATTGGTTTCATTGTCACAGCTTTTAATTTCACAACTGGCTCCAGCGAAACGAGGACAGAGGGAAAACTCGGGGAGCGAGAGGATCTCCTGCTGCAGTTTCTCATAGATCCGTCAGATTTACACGGGTTCAGGCTGGAGGTAGACTATTAAAGACCAATGCTGATTTACGGCATCAAAAACAGGTGTGTTGGCTGTTCTTCAGTACACAGTTAATTTATAGACTCCACAACCCTGAAGGAGATCAAATCCAGCATGAAATGCAGAGATTGATACGCAACAGGCGCTCGCTCTCATCGCGTTGTCATGAGAGCGCTCCATCACCAGCCGCATATTTGCCACCGAGCTGCCATTATTCACTCCACAGCGCCAAGTAGAGGCAAACTGGAATTGATTGTGTCTGAGTACACAGACCCACAGCTTTCACACGGAGAGAGTCTTCTTCAGCTGGAGCTCACAATCTAAGTTTTTAAAATTAAAGTCCTAGTTTTTTAAGAATAAAATCCTTAATTCACTACATAAAAATAGTATGTTTACCGAGATATTCTTGATATATCCATCAATGATATCCATCAATCCATCCATTTTCAGTCACTTATCCGGAGTCTGGTGGTGGGGGCAGTATCCTAAGCAGGGAGGTCTAGACTTCCCTCTCCCCAGCCACTTAGGCCAGCTCCTCTGAGGGAATCCCAGGCGTTCCCTTGCCTGGAGAGAGACAGTCCTTCCACCATGTCCTGAGTCTTGCATTAGGTCCTCTCTCGGTTGGACGTTTCCTGAAAACCTCACCAGGGAGGCGTCCAGGAGGCATCCTAACTAGATGCCCAATCCACCTCAACTGGCTTCTCTCAATATAGAGGAGCAGCAGGTCTACTCCGGGCCCCTCCCGGATGACAGAGCTTCTCACCTAATCGCTAAGGGAGAGCCCAGACACCTTGCGGAGAAGTATCCACAATCTCGTTCTCTCGGTCACTACCCAACGCTTATGACCATAGGTGAGGGTAGGAATGTAGATCGACTGGTAAATCGAGAGCTTTGCCTTTTGGCTCAGCTCTCTCTTCACCATGACAGATCAGTACAGCGCCTGTAACACAGCAGACGCTGTATCAATCCACCCGTTGATCTCGCACTCAATCTTTCCCTCACTCGTGAACCCTGTGATACTTAAACTCCTCCACTTGAGGCAGGGCCTCATCCCTGACCCGGAGATGGCATTCTACCCTTTTCCGACTCAAAACCATGGTCTCGGATTTAGAGGAGCTGATGCTCATCCCAGCTGCTTCACACCCGGTTGGGAACCGCTCCAGCAAAAGCTGGAGATCACGTTCTGATGAAGCCAACAGGACCACATCATCTGCCAAAAACAGATGCCCTCAACTCCTAGAAATCCTCTCCATAAAAGTTGTGAACAGAATCGGTGACCAAGGGGAGCCTTGGCGGAGTCCACCAGAAACAAGCCCAGCGTACTGCCAGCCATACGTACTAAGCTCTGACACAGGCCATACAGAGACCCAACAGACCATATCAGAGGGCCTGGTACCCCGTACACCCTAAGTACCCCCCAAATGGCCTCCCGAGGGAAACAGTTGCTTTCTTCAAATCTACAAAAAGCATGTAAATTGGTTAGACACACTCCCACGCACCCTCCAGGACCCCTGTAAGGGTTTAGAGCTTGTCCAATGATCCACGGTCAGGATAAAACCCACATTGCTCCTCGGGAACCCCGAGGTTCGACTATCTGACGGACCCTCCTCTCCAGAACTCCTGAATAGACCTTACCAGGGAGACTCAGGAGTGTGATCCCCTTTAGTTGGAACACTCTCTTCGGTCCCCCTTTTTAAATAGTGGGACCACCACCACAGTCTGCCAGTTCCAGTGGAACTGCCCTCGATGTCCATGCAAAATTGCAGTCAGCCAACACAACCTTACATCATCCGTGTTGGATTGGATGTTAAAGGAAAAAACGCCTCATAATCTGGATGATAACCAAGAATGAATAAAAACAAAGGTGAAAAATGAACAGAAATCCTGTCATTTAAGGGTCTTCTCCACTTTCAGAAACTTTCTCAGACATTTTGATGTGTTTTGTCTTAATTTGACCACTTTCATCTCAGACAAGCAACATAAATTTGTTTTGAAATAAACAACTTTATTTTAATTAAAGTATCTTTAGCAATTTTGGAAGAAAAAAACATATTTTCATGCCTCTAGCTGTACATGTATTGTGGAAATAAAAAAAAGAACAACAACTGGTGTTTAGCACTTTCTCGTTTACTATGGCAACGTGGGTTTACGGTTCCAGTGGACAGGGCCCAGTGAAGATACTCGAGGGGAGGGGTGAGTGTTGAGTGACCGTTTTTGCGTTCAAAACCTAGCTTGTTGGCAGTTTTGATATAACAGCTTTAACTAATTAAACACGTAAACGTTGCTGCAAAGTTCTAATGTTATTTTTTGCAATTTTCTAAATTTACAATATCTTATTTCTGATTTTTTTTTTCAGATTTATGCATTCAATTGCAAAAATATTTAATTTAGGACTCTCTAACATCCAGCATTTTCCATATGAATCTGTAACCTAAGTCCCAGAATTCCTGAGATTGTTTATAGGAATTCTGTTCCTCTCTGACCTTGTTTTGTCATTTAAAAAATGTTTAAATCTACAACCCTAATATACACGTTTTGACTTCTTTACTGCTAATTTTATTTTCAGAATAACAAAAGCTGGTTCATAAATTTGCTGCCATTTGAAATGTGAGAAAAGTCCGGATTACAAAGCTTTGGGTTGTTTTCTTTAATCCCATCCAGACCTATAAATCACTTGAGGAATGTGGTGTTTTCTTGTATCAGCACCTAATCAAGGAAATTAAGGGTCCTGCTGCTGCTCACGGGTTTTTATTCACCCAACCCTTCCTTAGCTGCTTCTCTTGGTCATTTTGGATCCTTCGGGGCTTCTGGGAGAACCTCCATTTTGGTCTAATAGAACGAAACTGGAGCTCTTTGTTCACTGACATGATGCATCTAAATAAATATACTAGGGCTGCTCAATTAATCGAATTTTAATCCCAATTACGATCTGAGTTTTGAACGATTATAAAAACAAAACAAGCCGATTATTTGCTCCTGCCACTTGCTCTTCCCTGAGTTGCAAATGAAGCGCTCCTCCCACAGTGTTGCCAACTTAGCGACTTTGACGCTATTTCCAACAGCTTTTCAGACCCCCTTCTTGACTTTTGAAATCTTAAAAGTACCTAGCGAACACCTCAGAAACATCTCTGGTAACCCTTAGCTACTTTCTGGATAACTGTCGTCGACATTTCCTGCAGGTTAGCTAAAAACTCCGCCTGCGCTCCGGACCGTTCTTCAGGACATTAGGAAAGGGAATGATGTAGTGATGCTGTGTCAGTCGCTTAAAAAACGGCTCTCAGAGCCGGCTCCCTGTTGGATTAACCAGAGTGAGTGACACACACACCGCACCTGCGGACTCCTGAGCCACTAAAAATTGCTAAATGTGCGTGTGCAGCGTGCTAAACACACGTGCAGCTTGCCACTGATTGCTGTGAGACCGGGTTGGGGGGTGGGGGGTGCAGCTGTGGTTGGGACCATTATTACATTAACTGATGGACCTGTAAATAAATAGTTTATAAATAAGGTAGAAATAAGTTCCTCACGCTGATAAATAATAACTAATCTCTCTGAGGACACGGTGCTAGTGGACTCTCCTACAGCACCTTGACACGACTCAATAAATGTTATGCAACATTTTGTGAACATCAATTTATTTGCATTTAAATGCCACTGTATAATTCTTGCTGTCAGTATTTGCAAGATATTGGTATTTGGGTCTGTACTGGTTAGACTTAAATGAGTTAAACCAAGGTCTATAGCCCTTGGGTCATAAACTATGAGCTATAAGTATATTGGTCTTGTTATACTGGGAATCAGGAGTTATTTTAGTGATCGTCTTGTTTCTTATTTATTTTTGTCCTGATTGTGCCCTGAGCAGTTTTATGACTGAATAAAAACAAATAAAATCAACATTAATTGAAAAATTGTCTTAAATAATCGAGATCTCCATTTCGTTCACAATAATCGTAATTATTATTTTTGCCATAATCGAGCAGCCCTACTAAATATTTTATCCACGTTGGTTTATTGTCATCTAATGAGCTCATGTTTGTTGGTGTTTAATCCAAATGTGTGTGTCTGGTTTCAGGATCCACTCAGCCTACTATCGATTGCTAACATAGCATCGAGCAGCTAACGTGTCTGATTTATGTACGATAATCCCCCGTGTTCACGAACCGTCATCGCCTGCCTTTAACCTGCCTCTGCTTCATCCACTAGCTGACAGGAAGTAGCAATAATTTCTCTGTTTGCTTCTCATGTTCCTCTTCAACAAGCACGCCTTTCATATAATGGTGGAGGTAAGAGCAGTTTACCTGGAGTTCAAACCCGTTTTTCACCACGTTTTTTGGGTCGCAAGCCTGACTCCTCACCCTCGATCCCACGCCACCTTTTTTCGTTTGCCCTTTCAGACGTGTCTCACTCTGTTTATTTATTCTTTTTGTTTGTTTCTGCCTGGGTTTGTTGCATGCATGAATGTCTTTTATGTTCTCTCGTGAACGAGCGTTGTGCATGGTGGAAAACGGCCAACCAGGCTATGAATGCAGCCCGTATTTATTTATTTTCAGTCTGAATGTCCACCTGTGCTGTTTATGTAACCTGCTGTTGGTGACGTGACCCACTTTGGAAGTCTGCTGGGCCTATAGTTCTCTACGTGGAGGTGTTTGAAACTGAAACCGCAGCTTGCTTTTCCGTCTCATCTGCAGACTGTGGAGGAGGAGGACCGGTACATTTTGCACAAGTGGAAGTGCTGCCACTTATCTACAACATTTCTCAAAACAGGGAGGGTGACTTACTTAAGTACGAGCAGAGCCGAAGCATTTTTGGACTTTTTCAGCTCAAATTTTTATCAAAATTGAGTAGAAGCATGGCTACAGATGTCAGTGTTCAGGAAAACCACATTTGAGTTACTTATTTATTTATTTTTAGCCTCATGTTTCTTAGACATCCCAGCAACAAGACATGGCCTTAAAACATCGCAATAACCGCCTGTTGTACTTCTGATTTTAAACGTAAACGGTTTATTATATATTTGTGTTTGTGCCCAGAAGTGCTGGTTTTGATGTGATGGACAGGTCTGTAACCTGATGAGGCCATAGGAGATGGTTAAGGGTTGAGAGGAACGGTGTGAAGCAGCAGTTTCTGTTTTCCTGTTTCCTGCGGTCTGCTGACTAAGTGTAATGCGCGCCCTTTGGAGGCCTCGGCGCCCTGCGATCGGACAGCAGATCCGGTAACTCTCGGGGGAGGCCTGGCCTGGCTGAGCCAGGCTGAAGCCCAGAAGTCAGTTGAGAAAGTTTCCAGAAACAAAAAGAAGATTCAAGATGACGCATTGGGCGAGCATCCTCAAATCCATTGTCCGGTGCACGAATTCACCATTAGAATTAACGCTGACCTTTTTTGTGCTGTTAGCAGCTTCTGGGATTTTTTTCTTCATCTCACATTTCATCAAACTCATTTGCTGAACCAGAGTTTCTCTTGGTGGCACTTGTGCAGGATTAGGCATCGTTTTGGAGACTTCTTGATGCGTCTAGTCGCTTTAGAAACTTCTAAGTGACACTTAAGCTTGGTTTATGCTTGACGCATTTACTTTACGCTTGGTGATGCGGCTCGCGGATGGAACGCGCTTCACAACTTGCAGCGTTTATGGTTCATGCGGCTTGTCTCTGCGGTGAGCCAATATTCTCCCAAACTGTAGGGGGCAGCATGGAGCTCTACGGCATACATCCAACTCTACACCATAGTAGAAGTAGAAATTACTGTTTACAACGTGGCATTCCAGCATTTTTTAACAGCGTCCTCGTCTTTTCCGACAGTGCGAGCTATTTCTCTCCAAGAATTATTAACAACATGTTGATCACGGTGATCTCTGAGAGCTGAATCATACAAATGTCTGTATTTACGAACCTCTGCCATACTAGTTCTTGCCAGTCCGCCATGTTTTTCCGCGTCCGACCATCTGCGTGGTTAGAAAATTTCCTAGGTGCACGGTGCGGAAATTTTGGGCCGTGCGGAGACGCGGTGGAGGGGCGTGGTTGTTAAAATGACGCGCGGAGCCGTGCGAACCTCGCGGACGCGTCAAGCATAAACCAAGCTTTAGACTCTTATAATCAGCATCAGAACAGACTATGTTTGATTAATAAACATAATAAAGAAATGATAATGAGATATTTTTTGTTAGTATCTTTCACTGAGGAACCGTCTAATAGTTGGTCTTTTTGAGATACGATAGGTCACTCTGCGTTGCACAAAAGTACTGAATGTTACCCTCATCACCTACATTAGCCGTCGAAAGGAACCAGTCTGGAAATCAGTGGGGTCACAAAAAGCCAGCCTCCTCCACGTCAGTGGGAAATTCAGCCATGAAAAGCTGGGTTGATTAGGCGGTTAGGAGAAGCTAACTGTTAGCATTAGCAAGTCCACAACACGGCAGAACACGTTCAGACGTGTTATTTGTGGAGGTAAATCAATGTTACATAATTTACGCGATAAAGAACAAATGGAGGCAGCTGAAGAGTTGCTTTGCTGTTAGCCAATCAGAGGTGACACCTGCGTGCCATTTTCCACTCCCCACTCCTCTGCCAAAAGTCTACCCACTGAAACAGGAGCGCCAGAGCTTTTTTACACTGAAAATTACTTACAAGGGATTCATTCATTCATACTAGAGACAGATTTATTGAGAACACTGATGTAATACTCCTTTAGCTAATGTTTTCCAAGCTAGATTTGTTAAAACTCACTGAAATTCTGACAACAGCATTCACAAGGTCGCCAAGGCCTTATTCTCATGTTATTGGAATTTAAACAAATTTAAAACATTTGTTGGACAGGTTTGTTTTTTAAATAGTCACAAAACCATCAGAGGTGTCGCGAAACCATCTCAAACCGTCCTCGATTTAATTTGTCTGGGTTGGAAAGTGCAAGAAAATGTGCGAGGTGTTGGCAACCAAGAAGACAAAACTGATATATTTGCAGTTTTGACAAGTGTAAAGTAGCTAGGGCGCATCATCAATCGGGACATTGTGACAGGACGCTCACACTGTCACATACATATATATATATATATATATATATATATATATATATATATATTACCCATGATTACCCATTTGCAAAATTACTTCAACAACATTCATGTACCCAGTGAATTGTACAGAAATGACCAGAAAAGGGGCACATTTTCAGTTTCAAATGGTACTTTCACCTGACCACAGTGGAGGGTCGAGACGTTCTTGTCCCAATTTTGTCTGTTTATTAATGACGTCTCAAAATGGTCTTCAATTCCTCTTAAAGCATCTTTTCCACTTTTTAACCCAAACTGTATTGAAGTGAGCTGTCGACGTCCACAGGCACGGCATCACTATGAACATGTTAGAAGTCCCAGCAGCGTGGCCCACGAGAGGAAATGGAGAATGTTTCAAGAACATTTGGAAACTATCTCACAAATGCCAGTGAGCTACTGGTTTTAGTGCTACCAAATAACAAACACACCGTCTACGAGGATTTCTTTGACTTTCGTGATTAAATCAACACAAGTTTCCCTCAAGTCACCGTGTCTCTCATGGAGTGCACTGACATCAGACTTGTCAAAACAAGAAAATTCCAAACACTTCCTGGTTTTTGCAAGTTTTTTCCAAAGCAGAACCAGATGGAAAGATAAATTTGTTGTTTGGGCAAATAGCCGAGATGTGTTGAAGGGATTCCATTGCGTTTGTGTTGTTGTGAAACCAGACCTCGGCTCCACGGTGGGGGGGGTTCTCTCTGTCGTTTGGCCGGTGTTTTGGTGCGAAAGTGCAGCGCAGACAGCACGTCTGCCTCACAGCTCGCTGTTAGCTTAAATAAACACGAGTTCCCACTCCAGTCCCCCATAAGCTCCCTCTCTCTGCACTCCCAGACCTGAGCTACCTTATATCTCTCATTCTTAATGGCTTTCAGTTTAATATTAAACATGAAAATGTAACAATCCCTTCTAAGAGACTTGAGTCGTAGCTTTGAGGCGCTTTATTTAAAGGCCAAAGTTCGTGACCAGCTTTAAAATATCCGCTTGATAAAAATCTGCCTCATAAATTATACACCGTTTTGTTTCAGTGCTCCTGTCGGGACACGATGCACGGAGCTGGAGCTGCCTCTTCCTGTTTTACTGTGTCTGCCGTGAAATGTTTTCGCCGTTAGCTCATGTAGTGTACCGGGAACTCTTTTGAAATAGTTCTGGTGCCAAAACCTCGGTGGTGATTTATTCAGAGTTAATGTGCGCTTCCTGAAATTCTGCTTTGATTCCTCCGACAGTGGAGGATGTGTGGTAGGTGTGAGCAGCCTCCCTGGCTCTGCAGCGGACCCTGTAACTGGATCGGGGGCTTTTTTACGGGAGGTTAGGGAGACTAACTAGGATTGACAAGCGTTTGATATACTATCGCTGTCTCTGAGTGGATCCTGGAGGCCTCGGGGTCTTGAAAGTTGCTCCAGCTCATCAGGCGCCTACAGTTCAAGTGAAAACATGAAGATCTTTAAAGGCAGAGAGCTATTTTTTATTTCTTTTCTCTGACGGCAGCCACACAGAAAAAGGTAACGCTGAGATTCTACAGCAGCGTATCTGGTTTCATCAAAGGCCATCAGTCATGTGCTCGTCTTTCTCCTCCACCTTTTATCCTTTTGGAAATGTGACTCCCACACTGCATGCTTCTTTTTAACCTCCCTCTCTGTATCCCTCCAGTCCCCTTCCTTCTCTGTGAAGTCACATGTGAAAGTGATCAGCTTAATCCCGATCACCAGCTGTGTTTAACCTAATTTAGATTTGGAACACTCGCCTCTCCTCTCCTGCTTTGGCTTTTGTTTGAATGGCATTAGCATGAACACGGGACGCATGCAGAAAGCTTGACCCGCTAAAGTCTGACACAATACCTCCTATTTTGTCTTTATTTGGGCTGACGAGAGAGCGCCAAAGCGTCTGGAATGTGTTATACTGTCTCATAACTTTGCATAATGTCTCAAATCATAATCAGTTTTTGCGTCTGGTTTGCATAATTACAAACTGACCAGGTGATGCAAATTTTGTGATTTGTTTGTACTTTTACTAACCCTGAAATCCTAAAAATGGACAGGTTATAAACGGTACGTTTCTGACCCTGTCATCGGTAGCTCTCAATTAGCTAATTGATCTAATTTGCATGTTTTTACTGTGTGGGCGTCGGACGAGCCCCCGCACCGCGAGAACAAACATCTCAGCTCTAAAGCCGATCTTCATCCGCGTACGTCACACGTCACGTGATCAGGAAGCAGAAAATCCATGTGTTAGGAGATCATTTTGGGTCGCTGCTGTAAAAAAAAAGTGAGGCGCGAACCGGAAAAGCTTCTGCCGATCACAATTCAACAACGGATTATGAAAGAACGGATAACGCTCGAAATGCGCGGATCCTTCCTGATGTAAGAGGTGAGTCTCCGCTTTGTTTTGGTTGTTTTGGCGTCGACATCATCCTAGCGCTTAACGTTCTGCGACTCTTAAAAAAACTGTAAAAACGGTGAGAAACGCTGGCAGCAAAGGGTTTTAGTGATCAGGAAACAGCTGGCAGCGAATGATTTAAGCCCCTCCCCCTAGTTCTTTAATTATGACTGGAAGCAACCCCTCTAGTTAATAAACATGCAACTCTAGTTGGCCAACAGCGCTAAAACACACACACACACACGAATTGCAAAAATCAGTTTTTGGGTGAGCACCACTGTGACTAGCTGTTAGCTCATCAATCAGGGCAGAGCTCATCTCTTTCTCTAAACTGAGGTTGTTCAAATAGCTATCCAACAAAGGTCAGATGCTAGTTGTCCACAGCTCTTCCACGGGTCAGAGATGTTTAACTCAAACTGCTCATGTTCATGAACCAGGAGAAGGATTTTTGAGCAATAGCAGAGTAACAAAGGGCTTTTGTCCAGCAGCGTTCTCTGTAACATCATTAAATGGTAGCTAACGAGACCAGCGGAGGTCAGCCTGAGGTCTGGAAGACTTCAGAGTCGACTGATTGTAGAACAGCGAGTAAAAGATTGAAGCCTCGAGGAAGGTAATTCAGTAGTAGTTGGTCTGTTCTGCATAAATAACAATCCTTATGGACGATCTCTGCTAAATCCAACGTCAGAAGAATACATAACATCTAAATGAGGTCACACTGTGGCCAAAGTCTACAGCCAATAGGTTTAGGACTTAAAGGGGCATTATGGAAGTTGGACAGCCAAAACATGTATAGAAATAATAAATGTCTTCTTCATACATTCTCCTGCAATGCCCTGGTCCTGTAGAATGAGCCCTGGCATTTTTACTGTGATTGCCTGTTTTTCTGTAAAATCACAGAAAAAGAGAGATGCTCGGGTCGAGCAGGCTGCTTCATGCGCGTTCACGCTCAGGCATCGCCCGTAGCATTTGCTATCCGTAGCTTTAGCAGCAGAGAGAGAGGCAGTGCCACTTTGTCGCTGTTCCTAACGCCTAGTGACAAAGCTAGCTACATTTCTGAGGACCCTTAGCTACTTTCTGTAGAACTTTCTTCTAGATATTTCCTGCAAATTAACAACAAAATAGCCATTTTCACTCCGAACCGTTCTTTGGTTTGACGTTGTTTCAGCTGTCATCGAGTATGTAAAAGTTACAGATACAGTGAATGTTACTAGAGTGTAGCTCACCTTGTAAGACGTCGGACTCTCGTGCAGAAGACCTGGGTTTGATTCTGGGTGTGAACATAGTTTATTTAGAGTTTCTTTTTTACATTAATGGTATATTTTTTTACAGTAAGATGCCCAAATTTTTATTTGAGACTCGCCGAACGGCATTGAATTCACAGATAAAAAAGATGTGGGTTCAACTTTCATTTTGGAACAATTTTTCAAGCAAGGGAAGGGAATGATCTGAGCATGCAGGAGGACTGACCCATCATAAACCTTTGTTGGCTGTGCTGAAGAGAAAGGTACAGAACCAAATTATTTAATTAATTAGCTGCACGTTCTCCTGTCCTCTGTCCTCCGGGCCCCCCACACACACACACACGCATGCGCACACACACACGCGCGCACGCACACACACACACACACACACAAGGGACTGTCTCAGCTGTTATTTTTGTTAAGGAGTGTGCACGTACAGCATGCGCGCCTCGTGCACGAGCCTACTATTGAAGCTGCCGTTACGCTTTTGCCCTGAGGGGGCAATCACGAGCATAAAAATTCAAAACTCTGTAAAGTCCCTTTAAGGATCATTTTGCAGAAACACAAAGATTTTCAAAAAATAATCATACAACTTGACCACAATGTTCCAAAACAAACCCCTAAATCCCCATCAGACCTTTTTAAGGTCATCCCGCGGCTTTCCCGATCACCAAAACATCACCAGGAAACTATGGACGCTCTTCAAAGAACACACAAGACAGCACAAGAATCCCAGAGCCTCAGGCCTTTTTTCTCCTTTCAGAAAGATTAGCTAAAAATCCCCTTTGAGGACATGTTTACAACCCATTTGATTGTTCAAAAGTAGTTTTTTCCTCAAATAAAAAAGATAAGTTAGTTTATGTTATAATTAAACAAAACAAACATCCTGATTCATTCTGCTGCAAATGATCAGCAGATTATCGATGCTTTCTAGTCTTTTTGAGCTTTTTTCTCAGCAGCTCTTTGGGTTCCAGATTGGCAACCTTCCTGATTCATCCCTGCTTCTGTAAATTCAAGCAAACGCCACCCTGAGGGGTTTGATTTAATTTAAAACGAACCCATCCAAACCCTGCTGGGTCTGCTGCATGCTCCCAGCCAAATTAAACTTCACTGTGATGAAGCTAAACATGCAGCAACTCCTTAACTAAGCTCCCAGTAGAAATATGAAGCAAGCAGCAATGTGGCAATGCTGTAAAACAAAGTCATTTTGCTGAATAACAATAGAAGCATGTTGTCTCCTTCACACTGAACCAGTCCTGTTCTAACACCACCATCTTCTGCTTTCCTCTCATGTTTCCCTCCAGGATCCCGGACCCTCGCCTCCATCCCCCGTTCTGGGTCAAAAACCGCTGCAGCTCATTGAGTTGAAAGCCAGGGGGCGCTTTGGCTGCGTGTGGAAAGCCCAGCTGCTGAACGAATACGTGGCCGTGAAGATCTTCCCAATTCAGGTATCCTCCTGGATTTTGGAGTCACTTTGATCAAGGCTTTCACATCTCGGGAATGCTTGATTTATGGAAAAACATCCTCAATAGAGCATCATGTAGCTGTCCTAAGCATTTGTAGAGGGCGCATTATAGTCTTTAATAGGATCTGTATGAACTTTAGTCGCTTTTAGAGCTAAATACCTGCAGAAATACATATTTTTAATGCAATTAAGCCTTTTGGCAGACTATTTGTGATTTCTGACTTATGGTAACTGGTAGCAGAGTTGAGCTTTGTTATTCAGGTACAGCATTTAGACAGACTGAGGATATTTGACACATTCATTGGTGCACAATGACCCCTACTTGTTGGTCATGCAGACAACATGGACAGACGGTGCTGCTATGAAAGCAGAGAAGAGCTGCTGCTGCAGCAAAGGACTAGAGTTCCAAAAATGGAGTCCGTTCATTTCAAAAGGATGGTTTAAAATAGAACCGATTGGTAAAATGTCACTGGGTGCTAGCGATGGGTACCGAATTCGGTACTTTTTAAGGTACCGACCGAATTCCACAGTACCGACTGATACCGATTCACGTCATTTGAAACGGTGCCTCGTCTCGGTACCCGTCCTTCATAACGAGAACTTGCCTAGACAGCTGCGCATGCGCAAGAGCGTTATGTCGTCGGTCGCTGCGAGCGAGTTGTAAACAGAGCAGCATGGTAGAAAGAACGCACGCTAAAGCTTGGGTCCACTTCACTAAATGTGATGGGTAACTGGGTGATGATGAAACCAGCGACAACGATCTAAGTGAGACATCCTCATCTTAATCTGCTCCGGTAGGTAAATAAAATGTTTAAGATAACGTTAGCTTGATATGTTAGCTTCCGTTCCGCTAATGGTGCGTTCGATTTCTCCTCGGAACTCTGAATTTCCGACTGGAAGAACACGAACGTGCTCTAAAGTTTGGCTTCACTTTACTAAATGCGACGGGTGATTGGGTGAAGATGAAACCAGCGACAACGATCTAAGTGTGAGACATCATCGTTTCAATCTGCTCCAGCAGTTAAATAAAATGTTTAAGATAACGTTAGCTTGATTTGTTAGCTTCCGTTCCGCTAATGGTGTGTTCGCTTTCTCCTCGGAACTCCGAATTTCCGACTGGAAGAACACGAACGTGCTCTAAAGTTTGGCTTCACTTTACTAAATGCGACGGGTGATTGGGTGAAGATGTAACCAGCGACAACGATCTAAGTGTGAGGCATCATCGTTTTAATCTGATCCAGCAGCTAAATAAACTGTTAAGGATAACGTTAGCTTGATATGTTAGCTTCCATTGCCACCATTGTTATCAGCTAATGGTGCGTTCGCATTCTCCTCGGAAATTCTATCTTCCCAGTAGGAAAAATCAAATGAAAAAGGACGGCAAAAGGAATGAAGATACACAGTAAATTTAGTTCACAGTAAAGATGTTTGCTTCAGTTTAATTATCAGCTTATAAAACTACAAGGACGATGTTAAAATACAAACAGTTGTATGTTATTTATCGTGATATTTATCAAATATGGTTATATATTGAGAAAAATATATATTTAATTATAAAAGAGAATTCAAATATTAAACACACAAAAGTATCTAAAATTGGTACCGTTAAGTACCGGTATCGATTCCTAGGTACCGGGAATTAGTACCGAATCGATTCAAATGTCAAAGGTACCCATCCCTACTGGGTGCCCTGTGTTTTGCCATCTTTACTTGAGTTTATGTTTTGCCTTCAGAGCAGGAGGAAGTTTGCATCGTTCTGTCAAAATAAGAGCACGCTAGCAGAGTGAAAATTAATCCTAAGAATAATTGTTGTTGGTTTTTTGGTGTTGGGAGTTGAAACTCAATTGCAAACATCCCTGCTAAGACGTGATGCCTCTCCTCCCGCGTAGGACAAGCTTTCCTGGCAGAACGAGTATGAGATCTACAGCGTGAGCGGCATGAGGCACGACAACATCCTCCAGTTTATTGGCGTGGAGAAGAGGAACAACAACCTGGACCTGGAGCTGTGGCTCATCACCGCCTACCACGACAAGGTACGCAGTCAGGGGGGAGATGAGGACACCCTTTAAACTTATCGATGTGGCTTTTTTGCTCCGCAGCAGTAGCTCGTCGTACAAGAAACAACCCAGTTCTGCTAGAATCCTACACGACGACACGCTGCGGTTTTATTTCTGTTCCTCTCTGGTTTCTGTTGAGCTCAGGAGTCGTGTCCTCCCTGTTGTTTTCTTCACTCGGCAGCGGTCTTCCATGCGTTCGGGACTTTAAGTGCCTCTGTGTTTCTAGGGTCATTACCAGCCAAGTGGAGAGTGGTTCTTGCTCGCCTCGCTTGCCTGAAATTTCCCCACCAGACCTTAGATGTGATTCTGCGTGCTTAAGAATCCCTCCTCGTGTGGATAAAGGTTGAAAAATTGAAGGTTTGTGGGTGTGTTGCGGCTCTCGGATAGCCACTTAACTCTGGAGGGGTGCGACGAGTGCTTCTCTGATCCCTTTTCTTAAGGCTCTTAGGAAGAAATAACATCCAAGAACTTTGGAGTTTTAGAAATAAACCATAAAGCCAAATAAGTTTGTTTTTTTATTCAACTTCCTGCCGGAGATTCGTACACCCTAAACTGACAGATCAGAGTCTCCGTCACAGCTGATTTACGACTCGACATTTGATGCATCTAGAGTTTTAGCAGTAGCTGCGTGCCGGGGCTTGCTCTAGAAGCGCTCCAAAACTCCCCGTGTTTCTTTTAATCAGCGCAGGATATTTTAGATCGACTTTCAAGCTGATATCAACTGAGAAGTAATTTGAGAAAGAACTAAAACACTGTAATGTGGGTGTATAAACACTCTGAAAGGTGTGTGTGTGCGTGCGTGTGCGTGTGTGTGTGTGTGTGTCTTTTGAAGCAAGAGTTCATCTGTTGTGGCTCGCTGCCCTCCTGTGGTCGTTCTGTGTAACTACATGTGTATTTGGCCTTAAAAACTGTGACCTTGAGTTAAAAAAACATCTCCTGGTTGAAATAAAGTTCAAGTACTCTGGTATTTGTTTAATTTGTGAGATTCTTCCTTTGCTTTGAGTGTTTTTTAGAATCCTAAACATTCTCAGCAGGTTTCGTTGGCCTAAAACGGATTCCTCTTGCATGTTGAATCCTGAATGTTCAGGAAATGTGACCAACTAAAGCTTTTTATTTTTGATTAGCTTCTCTGGCCAGTAGTTTTTCTAAAACTTAAATGCACATTTGGTCAATTTTAGATGTGAAAATGCTCCTTATTTCACTATTACACATTACTCAAAATCTAATGTTTTAGATTGGAATTCACCAACATTTGTGAGGCCCCTAATTAGGAGTGTCCTACTTTGTTCCAGTTTTTCCTTTTTTTTTTTTCCTGTTTCTGCTTTTTCTGGAATTGCACTGTTTGGTGTGGTGAAAAAATACCCCAAGTTTCATAACATCCACACATTTAAAAAAACATGCAAAAATTCAACAGAATGTTTCATTAAATCATAATGATTCCAGTGTGTTTGTCATACAAAACCCTCTCATTAAGCTAAGCTCTACAGCACGCATCCAACACTACTCCATAGAAGTAGAAATTACTGTTTACAACATGGCATTCCAGCATTTTTAACAGCGTCCTCGTCTTTTCCGACAGTGCGAGCTATTTCTCTCCAAGAATTATTAACAACATGTTGATCACGGTGATCTCTGAGAGCTGAATCATACAAATGTCTGTATTTACGAACCTCTGCCATTCTAGTTCTTGCCAGTCCGCCATGTTTTTCCACGTCCGACCGTCTGCATGGTTAGAAAATTTCCTAGGTGCGCGGTGCGGAAAGTTTTAGCCGTGCGGAGGCGGGGTTGTTAAAATGACGCAATTTCGCCCCGCGGAGCCGTGCGGACCTCGCGGACGCGTCAAGCATAAACCAACCTTAAGTTTCTTGTAGGGGGTGACTTGCTCTTTAAATTTTTATTGATACATTTTTTTCCTATTGAACCACATGTCTATTGATCGATATGCATCGTTATGGAATTATTGTCCAGACCCAGTCATATCCCTGCAGCGGACCTCTTCGCCTCAGCTCGCCATAACACGTCTCCATTTTGGCTTCATGCGGGCCGGAGAAGCGACAAAATAAATTCCATTTTTGCTTATTAGTTGCTTAGTATTATGGAGTATTATAATAATAATAATAATAATGCATTGAACTTATGGGTCATTCCCATCTGAACCGGGTCGGCCCGGGCCGGGTAGCGTAGGTTGTTTACATATCTGGGTGGCCTGGTATTTTTCCGGGCCAACCAAGGCTCATTCTCAGCCCTCTTCTCGAGGGGGTCTGCTTCAGGCCGACCAGGGCCAACACACCCACTGCTGACAGCAAATTCACACCTTCCATTAGAGCAAGCCTCTGATTGGTGGGTAGAATCAGCCCACATGGGCTTAAGACAAGGATGTGTGGAATCAACCGGGCCGACTGGGGCTACCCGGCCCGGGCCGACCCGGTACAGATGGGAATGGCCCATTATATAGCGCTTTTCTAGATACCCAAAGACGCTTTCACACACTGCTAGTGATGGTAAGCTACTTGTAGCCACAGCCGCCCTGGGGAGGTCTAACAGAGGCGAGGCTGCCATTTGGCGCCGTCGGCCCCTCTGACCACCACTAACACAGGCAAGTTGGGTGAAGTGTCTTGCCCAAGGACACAACAGCAGAATACCCCTGGCGGGAGCTGGAATCGATCCCATGACCCTCCTCCGATCATGAGGCAATCCGCTCTACCACCTGAGCTACTGCTGCCCCCATTATGGAGTATTATGGAGTATAATGGAGTATTATGGAGTATTATGGAGATGTGGAACTACAGTTTGCTGAACAGATGCTGATTAGAGACTTATTAAATACCTACAAGTAAACAACAGCAGACAAATGAGTTAATTTTATTAGAGACCAGTGTTGCCAACTGTTTTTGACTGAAAGTAGCTGAAGTTCCCCCCAAAAGTCGCTAGATGTCGCCAGATGTCACGTGCTAATTTGCATACGACGCAATGACGTCATCTGGTTTGCGTCATGACGTCACCGGTCTTGTAGAGTAAATCAAATAAAACCCACGTGATTTTAAATAAAAAAATTATTTAATTTTTTTTAATATGTCATTATATTTAAAACCCAATAGAATACAAAACAGCATCCTTTAAAACATCAAGGAAAGATGGCACAAAAAATGGAAGGAATATTTCTATTTCGTCTGAAGAGAATAGAACTCAAACACAAAAATATTAAATTGAGACTTATTAAATACCTACAAGTAAACAACATGTATGTATGATTGAATTAAAATTAATTTTCTCTTGTAGTTTTCAAGTGTCTTGAGATGTATTCTTCTGTTGTGATTTAGTGCTATATATTGACGTAAAAGGTAATATATAGTTTTTATTTTTGTTTGGTTTTGTTGCTTTTAGTACTTTAGTGTGAAAAGAAGCAGGCCGTATTTAATATTCAGAAACGTTACATGCAAACTGCCAATGACTTACAGTATTATTCTGTTTTTTATAAAAGTTTTAAATGTGCTACGTTATTGAACTCATCATAGAGTTCCAATGTTCCTTGAATGCACCACCAGTGGTGCGAGAAGCCATGCGTGAGTGCGACGCTGCCTGCCAGTGACAGCCGAGCTCAGCTGCCGAAATGCGGCAGGATGGCGGAAGGAGCGGTCGCCCTTTACGTAGCTCCGGTGGCTATCTCAAATAATGGACTTGTGAAAACCCACAAAAGGTTTGATTGGCCAACGGGGGTAGCGTGATCATGCTGCACGCACATGCGCAGATCATTTTCTTTCTGATCCTCTGGAAGGAAGGACGGTACTGTCGCTTCAGATGCATCGCTAATCTGCAGGTAAAGTCGGCTACAAAGTTGTAGTCAAAGTAGCTGAGGGGGTCAGAAATGTCGCCAGATTTGTCGCTGGGCGCTTTTTTGAAAAACAGTCGTTAAGGGGGTCTGAAGAGTCGTTAGAAATGGCGACAAAGTCGCTTAGTTGGCAACACTGTTAGATACACAGTGTTCACAAAACCCTTGGTTTATAATTCAATTCAAGTTTATTTATACAGCGCCAAATCACGACAAGAGTCGTCTCAAGGCACTTCACATGATAAACATTCCAATTCAGGTCAGTTCATTAAGCCAATCAGAAATAATGTTTCCTATATAAGGAACCCAGCAAATCGCATCGAGTCACTGACTAGTGTCAGTGACTTTACAGCAATCCTCATACTAAGCAAGCATGCAGCGACAGTGGAGAGGAAAACTCCCTTTTAACAGGAAGAAACCTCCAGAGGATCCTGGCTCAGTGTAAGCAGCCATCGATAATTGTATTTTAGGGGGAAATAAAACAACCTGAAGGTACACCACAATATCTCAGTTGCATTTATTAAAAACTCTTTAACTGTTCAGTCTTCGGGCTGTTAGATCTCCTCCCTGATCATGACGTTTGCTTTGGTCGCCAGGGCTCGCTGACAGACTACCTGAAGGCCAACGTTGTGTCCTGGAACGAGCTCTGCCACATCACTCAGACGGCGGCGCGCGGACTGGCCTACCTGCACGAGGACATCCCGGGTCACAAAGACGGCCACAAGCCCTCCGTCGCTCACAGGTGCGCCAGCTTTCGTCAGCGCTCCCTCTGCGTGTTGGTTGCCGTGGTGATCTGTTTGACTTCCTTGTTTCCTCGCAGGGACATCAAGAGTAAAAATGTGCTGCTGAAGAACAACCTGACAGCCTGCATTGCTGATTTTGGCCTTGCACTTAAGTTTGAGGCGGGAAAATCAGCAGGAGACACGCACGGACAGGTACAGCCACGTTTAACCCAGGTGTCCTCGCTCGCTTTTCTGTCCTTCTGTAAAATGTTACTCAACAAACAATTTGTTTGGATCCTGCAGGTGGGAACGCGACGCTACATGGCCCCAGAAGTCCTGGAGGGTGCCATCAACTTCCAGCGGGACTCCTTCCTGCGTATAGACATGTACGCCTTCGGCCTGGTTCTCTGGGAGCTCGCGTCACGGTGCACCGCCGCCGACGGTGAGAGAGTCACTTTAACAGGACGGTCCTCACAAAGTCTCCTGTTTTTTATCGTTTGATTTGTGTGTGTTTTAACAGGCCCTGTCGACGAGTACATGCTCCCCTTTGAGGAGGAGGTGGGTCAGCACCCATCTCTGGAGGACATGCAGGAAGTGGTCGTCCATAAGAAGCTGCGGCCCTGCCTCCGGGACTGCTGGCAGAAGCACACGGTGAGCTTTGCCTTTATGTTTACAGGGTCTGGGTCCTCCGATTGCTGTGGTTTCTGAGTCTGAGTTACGCTCTGATTGTTGTTTCAGGGTCTGGCCATGCTCTGCGAGACCATCGAGGACTGCTGGGACCACGAGGCCGAAGCCCGCCTGTCCGCCGGCTGCGTCGAGGAGCGCATTGGCCAAATGCAGCGCCAGGCTCCCGTCATCGGCCCCGAGGAGATCGTCACTGTCGTCACCATGGTGACAAACGTTGACCTCCCCCCCAAGGAATCCAGCTTATGATCAGCCAATCGCCCGACACCCGGACGAGCTACTGGAAATCAGCAGGAGAGGATAGAAGACCGGCCTCGGCTGGCCTGCTCAGCGTTTTTACGTTTTCCTTTGACGTTTCATCTTTTCTTCTTCTCGGTTCCTTCGAGTGCGGGCCGCCGCACGCATTCAGGAAGCAGCCTGCGCCCGCCTCACCCACGGCAGGCCGGATCCACCTCATTTGGGCGCGCGCGCCTGAGTACTTCTCTCAAGCGGACGATTCAGGATACGCCATCGCGTTGTGGCTCGACGACAAACGATCTGATCACGTGTTGTTTTTATACTCTCACTCTGCTCGGATTTCTTTTAGAGGATCTAGTGGAGAAATTTCACCAAACTTTCAGCAAATTTTATTGTTCAAAACCAGAAAACGGAGAAATAAACTCAAGGACCTGTCTCCGGAGACATCTGCTGTTCTCTCCTGTGCGTTCTTCTAAAGAAACGACGATCGTTCTGCCAATAAGCAACGGCTTCTGAATGTTTATAGTGTAATGCTGCTGTACATAGTGTATCATGGACCCAGACGACTTGGCAATCAGCGTATTTTAAAGTGGGGGAGGGGAGGGGGTTCGTTCTCAAGCATTACGACGGTAGAAACCATAAACCTCCTTCAACCAGGTATACCTCAGTTCAGGTGGACTAGTCCCTCTCACAGTCTGCTCTTCACCAGGCGAACCTGCTGTCAGACGCAACACAAGCTCCTCCCCTTTTTGTCTTTTCTCCACTTTGATTTAAACTGTTTGCAGTTTGATGAAGTTGTTCCGTTTGTTTTTTTCCCGTTTGAGTTTGCGGAGTGAGAACTGAAAGCACCCTCTGGAGGTGATTTGAATGTTTGCTCTCAGACCCGTCGAAGCGTGACGTTGGCGCCCCGTGACCTCCGCAGGGAAGCGGGGCGGAGAAGTGGCCCCAGTGTTTGGTTCATCCTTTGGAGGATGCGCCGCGGAGTTCCCAGCCCTTTTTAGCTGAGCCAGCGTGTTTTTGATTTGATTGCACACATCTTTCATTTGTAATGTTTTAGTACTATCAAGAGTTTCTGCTCTCTTTTTGATACACCTCAGGAATCTTTGCTACTCACCTCCTCCTCTGGACCCCCCCCCCCCCCCCCCCCCCCTTCTCTGACTTCATTTCCTGTTTTGGAAGCCTCTCTAAGGCTCGGACATTAAAACTAGAGTTCATCTTCTCTAACTTTGAGCTTCAGACCTTTTATGAGTTTAGTCCATGTTTTTTTTTTATTATTATTAAACAACAATATGGACTTCTGAGGACCTTTCTACCCCTTGAAACTCAAAGGATAATCAGCGTGTTGTATTACTTCAGCCACACACACAAAAAATATATATATTTGAAGAGAAGCCTAGTTCCTCACGCTGACACAAACCAAACACGGTGGTTAGACGAGCCGAGACGAGGAATCTTGTTATCCCTCTCATCCTGGTGCCATTTCTACCCGTTCATGTGTTACTCTTGTAGATGTCAGGCCAAACGGATGTATCTGTCACCGCTGTGGCGTTTTTTTGATGTTTCCTCTGAAGGGCGGTGAACACCGGCGCCGGCAGACCTGCAGTCTCTCTCCTCAAGCTTCGGGGCAGTTTCTCAGGTCGCGGTTTAAAAGAAACAGGACACGAGGAAACTTCTCCTTCAGGACACGCTTTCCTTGCTTGGCATTTTCATAAAACACCGTACTGTAACACAAGGCTCGAATCAAACATAATTTAGTCCATTTGTGGTATTTTTAAGTTATTTGGGTGAATTTAGAAAGTCCAGAATCCTCCGAGTGAGCGTCAAATCTTGTTTCTGCACAAGTTTTTATTTGCAACACATCAAATTGAAGGAAGTCAAAGCCATCACCTTCTTTACGAACCGTAGCACGAGAACAACACCCGTTGCTTCCTTTTGCTGCTGCCGCTGTTAAAAACACAGCATTCTTTAACCCCGGCTTTCCACCGGAGCCGTCAGCAGCACGTCATAGCTGCTGATAGGAACCGCTGTGGTCAACAGAGCCTTTTCCACCGGCGCCGTCGGCAGCGCGAGTCGGCCGCGTCTCAGGAGCAGCATGTCGCTAGCCTGGCAAGCCAGACTAAATAAATGTATTATTTAGTCTGGCCACGCTCCATTGACGGCTCTCGCTTGTGGGGCGGGTTCTACCGTTGTCTTTCAAATGATCTCCGCATTCCACTGGACAAAGAATGTGACATACTCTTGTTTCACTCTGTTGCATCATCCCACCCACCAGGCATATAGAGTGCCCTGATTGGCCCACAAAGCGGATAAAGCTCTGTGATTTGTTCACTAAGCAGATAGTGCACTATGACTGGCCCACCATTATGGACCAATCACAGCTCTTTATGTGTTTGAAACCCCTCTAGAGAGCTGTGGTTGGCTAGCCAGAGTCCTGGTAGGAGCTGCGGAGGTTCCAATGGAGCATGCCTAGACCAAACTTTGCAAAGCAAGAATCTGGTCTAGTTCACTAGGCTAGCATGTCGCGGCCCTCACGCGCCGGCTCTATTTCCTACGCGCGACGCCTCTGAAACGGGTCAAGGTCGACATTTTTGGGGAAGGAAAGACAGGAAATTGGACGCGGAAACGGAGCGAAGCTCCCGAGATTTTCAGAATAAAGAAACTTGCCGCCTTCCGGTTGCTTTACTTAAAAAAAGTTACTAAATGTGCGGCCCCGTGAGAAGTAATCACCTAGCTAGCGGTCTCCTTTGTTTTTCAGGTCCGTATTGGCGATTATAAAACGGACAGAACATAAAACAAACCTTTTGGAGCCATGTTGTAATTTTCTCCTGCTTGTTGTGTTTACTGACTCGATCGGTGACAGCTGCTCCCCTGCTGCTTCGCATCTCGTGGGAAGGGCCAAGCAGCAGCTCACGTAAGCAAGACGTGCTGCTGCAGTAACGTGCTGCTGACGGCTCCGGTGGAAATAAGGGGTTAGAGCTCGAACCGTCAGGAGCGATGAGTGCAGCGCTGATGAGGAACAAGAAAAATCACACAAAACCACGACAACAACCCAGCAGCCCTTCGTTAAGTACTACCTCACTGGCAGGGACTTCTTTGGGGTAGAGAGCGTGGCAAGTAAACCAAAATCAGAGGCGGGAGTTCTTCCAGACGCTAAAGGAAAGTTTCCTCGTTAAAGACGGAGGTTTTTGTGTCCTCGGATGCAAAAACCTGGTGAGGATTGTTGGTTAATATCAGTTTAAACTGCTCCTGAGAAACCACCCCTAACCGAAAAACACCATTCAGGGATTCAGTACTATGCTTTTCTAAGTTCTAGCAAGTTATATGCAACCAGTGCCGCAATCTACCCTACACTTCTGTAGGATCTGCTGCAGGAGTGGCTTTCAATACACACACACACACACACACACACGCATAAATAGCTTGTAGCATTTGAACTTGTTTTCTTTTTTTTTTTAATTGTTGTTATTTTCAAATCTATGACCTTGCATATTGATGTCGTATTTATTTGATGATTTTCCTGGCCTGAGGTTTCGGGGATCAGAGCTCAGGTGCAACTCAAGATTTAAAATCTAAGAAGAAAAAAAAAGACAAATTTGTGAGAGTTGGAATGACGTACGGTTGTTGTTGGGGTTTGGTGGGAGGGTGGGTTTTAATTCAGGAAATATTTTCATAAATTCAAAATGAAATGATATCAACTGTAACGTGCTTCTTTCTATTCAGTTTATGGACAAACGACCGAGAATGAATGTTCTACAGACTTCTGGATTCCATATATATAAATATATATATATATAAGTATAGTGTGTGTACTTCAATTGATTGAGCCCGGCCCCGTGTAACTTTAGAGGGCTTCAGCTGGTGTCGTGTGATTGTGCTCCGTCCCGCAGAAAACGGTAAAGGCTCAAACATTTAAGCACCTTTTAGAGAGCAAGAGCCAAAAAAAAAAGCTGCTGGATGTTTTTCTGAAAACTCAATTCATAAAAAAAATAAACATCTCAATTCAAATTCCCATTATCTGCCTTCATAGAAACAGTTGTGGACAAAATTGTTTCCCATTTTGCCAAATGCCTCCTCCTCTCCCCTCAGACCCTCTGGATTGTGTCGCTTAAAGGTGCTTAAGTGGGCTTTTACGGTTTTCTACTGAGACTTCCTCCAGCCCAGCACCTCACGTTGCTGTGCATATAAACTACCAGTGAAAGATTCGTCTTGTTGCCCCGTACTATTTTAAGCAGTCTAGGATTTGTACAGACATAAATACCTGTATCAACTATATACTCTGAACTGAATCTTTATAAGTGCGTGTTAAACTTCAGTGTTTCCTCTTCATTCATCTTGTATGTAAAATAAATGCCCCTTGCTGTGCAAAAATTTGCCTAAATTTAATGTTTTTGTGAGCTAAAAGCTTATAAAAAAAGTTATTTGTAAAACATGAACATTTTAGCCTGAGGGGTTCCTCAGGGAGCCTGTTTGGTTACCCTCATGGTTGTATTTCAATTCAATTCAAAAATACTTTATTAATCCCAGAGGGAAATGAATTAACACTATTTGCAACACTATTTGATCATATAAACATTCTCTACAGATGTCTCATTCCAGGAAGTCTCCTCCTTTTCTTAACTCTTTGTTAGAATAATAGAGGAAACATTGAACTGCAGTGATCTACATGACACTAAAAGTGTATTTGACCCCACATTCAGCAAGGTCCTCGAGTGGCAGCACCAATCTGGGATCTGTATTTCCGTCTATAATGATAATGATGCTTTCAGGGTTTTTCAATGCTGAAAAAATTCACTTTTTGGTTTTCCAATTAAAACAACACAAAATGTCATTACTCCTGAGACATGACGGTAAACTTCTCCCTTCTGGGGAGTAAAGTGTAAATGACCCCAAAGGTCTCATGTGGAACTGGAAGAAATTTTTTTTACTGAGTTCTCTCAAGCAGATTACGTGTTTACCAGCTGCTAAAAAATTAAGTATTACAGCAGAGTAGAAACTCGAAACATTATCAGAACAGACAACTGATCCCTGACCAGCGCTGTGGCTCAGCTACTCATGGTTTTTCTCAGCTGAAGTGATCCACGTGATGTAAATAAATGTTTTTAGATTGTGAATCTTCATGTTGTCTTTTTGTCTCACCTTGATTTGTCTGAATACTGAAGTTAGTCGAGCTTTCCTGGGTTTAGCTGCGTTTAGTGTTGGTGTTATGCAGCAATCCACCACCAGGTGGCGCCATTGCACAAGCCAAAAGCTTGAGACGACGGCAGGTCCAGTGATTTTTGTCATTTGGCTTAAAAATCCTCTGATTAAAATGAAGAAATTAATTTAAGAGCCTTCTAGACCAAAATCGTAGTTATAAAATTAAATAATTGGAAGAATTTTTTTTATTTACAATCAGCATTAAAGCAAACTGTTAAGTTGTGATGAACGTCTTCATCTAGGCAAACGCCGACATGGCCCACTGCTTGACGTCAGTGGGGCATTGTGGGTACTTCTGCAGCGCCTCCATGATCTGACCGTGGTCCAGCATGAGTCTCATCAGCTGAAACTCCCCCTGGACTTTGGCCGAGGAGGCGTCGGCCGGTCGGATCAGCTCCAGCTGCTGCAGATGCTCGAAGGCCTACGGGCGATAAGGCTTACGCCAGTGAGTGGCCCATTTGCTGAATTGTTTCAGGTGTGCCTCCCTCTTCAGGAATCTCACCTTCATGATGACAGGCTGCTCGTAGTTGTACATGGAGCTCGACTTCCTCTGAAGGAACTTCTTGAATTCTAAATGTGGAGTTGATGTATAGATTAGAACCCTTTTGACCTGTTTATAAGAGTATTTAGAGAAGCGGCGGTACCGTTGTGGACCATCTGGAGGTTGAACGGCTCTCCTTCGTAGACGTCGTTGAGGTGTTTCATGGCGATGATCAGACACAGCTCCAAGATTGACAAACCTGCAAAGATTTTGAACAGAAAAGCACATTAAACTGGAGTAAACGTGCAGATCAGCGTCCTACAGTCTGCGTTTTACCGTGGAGCATGTTGGCCTTGGAGTCGGCTGAACACAAACGACTGGCGTCCAGGAGGTCGGCCTGTTTGATGACGGGTTTGGAGACCGATACGCGGCTCAGACACAACATCTAGAGCAGATAGTTGAGTCAGAACAATGCTTCTGTGTGGAGACCCTGCAGATCTAAGCCGGAGTCCTACCAGCAGCAAGTGCAAAGAGCGGAAGTCTTTACTGGAGTTGAAGTGTCTCTGCAAAACGTCCTCAACAGACTTGTCTTCACAGAGAGTCTGGAGAAAAATGAGCCGTAAAATGAAAGAACAGACTTTTTAAATCTAGTTTTTTCTGTCATACGTGCGGTTCTCGACCGGAAAAGGGTGGCTTGCCAACTCCGGGTCAGGGGAGAGGTCCTACCTCAAGTGGAGGAGTTTAAGTATCTCGGGGTCTTGTTCACGAGTGAGGGTAGGAGGGATCGGGAGATCGACAGGTGGATTGGTTCGGCGTCTGCAGAGATGCGGACGCTGAGCCGATCTGTCGTGGTGAAGAGGGAGCTGAGCCAGAGAGCCAGGCTCTCGATTTACCGGTCGATCTACGTCCCAATCCTCACCTATAGTCATGAGCTTTGGGTGATGACCGAAAGAACGAGATCGCGGATACAAGCGGCCGAAATGAGTTTCCTCCGTAGGGTGGCCGGGCTCAGCCTTAGAGATAGGGTGAGGAGCTAGGACATTCGGGAGGGACTCGGAGTAGAACCGCTGCTCCTCCGGATCGAAAGGAGTCAGATGAGGTGGTTTGGGCATCTGGTCAGGATGCCTCCTGGACGCCTCCCCGGGGAGGTGTTTCGGGCATGTCCTGCCGGCAGGAGGCCCCCGGGTTGACCCAGGACACGTTGGAGAGGTTACATCTCCAATCTGGTCCGGGAACGCCTTGGGGTCCTGCCGGAGGAGCTGGTGGAGGTGGCTGGGGAGAGGACGGTCTGGAGCTCCCTAGTTGGGATGCTGCCCCCGCGACCCGGACCCGGATAAGCGGAGGAAGACGACGACGTGTGGACGGGCTCACCGTTATGCTGGCATTCCACTCCTGAGCAAACTTCCTGTCCGGGAAGTCGCCCGGCAGGCTGAGCTGCGTTTGGACACGCTCTAGGTACTGAGTGAATGTCAGGCTGCTCAGCAGGTAGATCTGACGGTGGGAAAACCGCGACTTCACCCGCTTCTCCAGCAGCTCAAGGACATCCTAAAGAGAACGAATCAAAGCTCACATCCTCTGACTGAATGGTGGGAGATGGTAAACTGGTTTTCTCAGACTCACCAGTCGACACGTGAGGCCGACCACAGCGATGGGCGCCTGGGCGGACTGGGAGACGTCAAACAGGTTGTAGAGCAGGGTCTGGTTCTTATGATGGGCGAAAAGGTCAAACTCCTCCAGAACGAACAGAACCGGACGGCTGCTGCTGCGCTCACCTTCGGGAGACCAAAACCAGCACTCGGCACTGCTTATAACAGCTAAACATTCACATTTACAATCCGTTTGAGAAACTAACCTTTTTTTAATGCGTCCAGGAGAAAAGCTAAATTTTCTGCAAAACTTCCCTGAAAATGAAACCAAAACAACGTTTTTGCGTGGATTCTCTCGCAGGAACAGCTAAAGCTCTGTGTGAAAACTCACAAACACTTTGTCACCAACGACATTCTCCAGGTGGAGTTGTCGGGTAATTTCTTTCAGGGCTATTCTGTCGTCTGTCTGCAGCAGACCTGCAGCAAGCACAATACATCTCAATATCTGGTTCCAGCAAAAAGTCGGATTCAGAAGCATTTTTTAGATTACCGTTGAGATGAACCTGAAGGAGGTTTTTGTGCACTTCTGTTTCCTTCATCAGCTCCCTCAGCACACACTTCAGCAGCTACAAAAACTTACCGTCAATACGTGGCAACCCTTCCAGAATTTAAAGCTAATTAATCATATTTTAAGTGTTTGTTACGTTTACGCCTGTAGAGACTCACCGTGGTTTTTCCAGCTCCTCTGGGACCGACTATTAGCACAGAGTTACTCTCCCCGTGGACAGCCGTTCGTTTCAGCAGCTCCGCGAGGTGTCTGCAGGCACATAAAAACATAAAACTGCTTCGACTAACAAGTGAAAACTGTTAAATCTTCAGAGTTGCAGGTGGATTTGAGTTGAAATCAGCTGGGAGCTTTTATCCTACTGCAAACTGGGACAGACCTGTCATCCAGGCCTGACTCAACTGGGTCATCTTACGTAATCTGAACCCCGAGTTTTCACTTTATCACTAAAAACTATGTTTTCAAACATTTTGCACATAAAATTATTTATTATTAAATTATCCTCAGCAGCAAAATAACTAGAAACCCAGCAGAGTTCATCTGTTTAATGATTTTTGTGTCTTATTTTAAAAAAAAGCACCAACTTGTGTTGAGCTTCCACTCCCTGTGGTCTGTCAGGGAGCTGCTGATGGCAGAAACGCCGCCTCAAAATCTGATGAACCTGCAAATAAAAGATAGATTTATGCATTTTTGCACTTAAAAGTCATAAATGAGTGTTTTCGTTAACCACACCTGGGTGATGCATTCTCCTACAGGCAGATGGGCATCTTTCACTTTCCTCTTGCTCATTATGAACTGTGAAACATTGTAAATGTCAAACATTAACACTGCAACAGTGTAACCAATTATATGCAGTTTATTAAGTTTTCTAATAAACTCAGAAACCTGTAATTTAAGCGTTTGTTCATAAAATAGATGCACTTTCAAATACGTATGCTCACATGACAGCTTAGCTTCTAATTGCCCATCATTTTATGGTAAATTGCTACAAATTACAATATAATAAAGATTTCAGTGAGTATTATATGCGCCGAATTAATAAACAAATACTTTTTTACAGAAGATCATTCCAAGTTGGCTCGAATTTGCTTCATATCAGTCAGAAAGGAGGAATTTATACATTTCTTTTAACTTCACCATTTAGTTTGGCAGCAATTATGTCTACTGGTCTCAGCTCGTGTCCAGTGCTCTCGGCACGAGCCAGCTGGCTCTACGTCATACACTTGGTGTTTAAATCAGGTCTGTTTGAAATTAAATTATGTTGTTTCTCAATAAAAACGTGTACACGAATATAGTTGTGGTAAATATAGATGGCTTACCTGAGATTTCATCGTGTGCAAACCTTCGCGGGAACGCAATGATGACGACTTCCTGCTTTGGCTGGATCTCCTTCCTGATTGGCTGAGACAGAAACAAGAAAAATAAAGCGAAGAAGAAGTTTGAAGTAAACGGACGTAAGAATGGATGAATGCGTAAAAGCTGCACGTTAAATTAAAATAAGATTTCATAAATAGCTCTATTTTTTCCAATTTTTTATAACCGAATAAGAGATACGTATTTTAGACATAAAAGCTGTAGAAGTATGAATGTTGCCCCCTACTGGCATAAAAAAGAGAGCTGAATTACCAAATCAACATCTTTTAACATAAAAACAAAATACCGTATTTATACTTAATTATTAACTATCTTGTTTAACAGTTGTACAAAACGTTATAAAGAAAAAAATGTTTTTCGTAATTTAGTATATTTGTAAAAACATTTAATCCTGAATAATTATTTACTTTTTTCAGGTTTTGTGATCTTGCCCTCTCCATTGAGAAGTCCTGAATAATAATAATAACAATAATAATAATAATAATAATAATAATAAATTAATTTACACATGTTCTAACTTTTGGTAGTTTTTTCATAGTTTTAAACATCTATCTGCTGAAGTTCATTCTAAGCTTAGACAGATTTCGTGCTGCATTTTTACAGTGATCCTGTAATGTGATCCTTTGGTGGGAAATGTGCTGTGAACAAAACACCACAACAAACTTCAAAATGTTATTTTTAAAAATCAGGATGAAACAATATACCCAAAAAAAGTCTATTTAGTCAATGCATTAGTGTTTTAAAAATATTTTCTTATATGAAAATCATGTCAATACTTAATTTTTAATGGCAACACAAATAAAAGAGACACAATAACTTGCTTATGTTGTTTAACTTGCCTATGTTAAAATCTAAATCACTTTTATGTATTTTATTATTTATGTGCATCTAAGGTTTTTGGCTATAATTGGGGTAATTTTAGCGTCTTTGAGCTAGCAATATTATTTGCCAAAAATGTTAAAAATTAACAATTTTTCTGTGACATTTGTAAATCAGCTTTGTTCAAATATTCAGCTGAGTGTCTGAGCTGACAAAAAATATTTTTCTGCTTCACTCATTTATCTTCTTCTCAGGTTGGACCTTCAGAGCTGAGCTTCCGTGTATTTTGTTGATCTTTATTAGCATTTGTTTTAATTACGCTATCTTAGACTATGTATTCTCAATTTTAACATAGTTTGTTTTTATTCAATATGTTATTAGCTGTTTTTTTTGTGAAACCCTGTGTCTTACATAAACATAATGTGTTTTCGGTAAACTTACTAAAAGTGGTTTCCTACACCAAAATAATTAATAAAAAATTTCTGTATTATTTGTGTTTTCATGTGTCCTCATGTTTTTGTGTATTATAAAATGTTCTTGTTGTAGTGAAAATGTTTTGTGTTTATTTACATTTTATGACAGGCAAATAACTGTGTAGTTTGTGTTGTTTATTTTTGTTGACTTGTGTCCAGTGTCATCGTCTCCAGCTGTTCCAGGCTCCTGTTGGTTTCATTTCTAACTTTTTGTTTACCTGAACGCCTCATGTATGTGCACTCCTGGTTCACTCTGGAGTAAAAACGTGCATCACCTCTCCCATCTGCTGGCTTACTCTGCAGCGCATGCGCACTGCGGCTCTCCAGTGTAGGAGAACCAGCAGAAGCAGAGAACTAATGGGTAGGCTCATTTTTCTTATTTATCTCAACCTCAGAAACGCTCTGGCGCTGTTCTGTTTCACTCTTTTAGCGTCGGCACGCACTCGCTAGAGTGTCCGGATAAAAACGAGCTGTTTGCGTTTTTAATTTGGCGCAGACAGAAGCGTTTGTGCCTGAAAAGCCTCTTCATCTGCAGCGGGTTAGCACGGCAGTTAGCTAGCATGCTAAGCTAACCAGAGTTAGCTCGGCCTGCCCCTGGCCTTGCCTGTCCCCGTTGGCTTGGAACCTAACGCGGGCCTAGTTGCTTTTTTCCTTTTAGTTCGACCATTTAAACTCGGGATCCGATTTACAAAGCCCCCGATGTGTGAAAATCCGGTTCGTTTATGAGTGCAACCGAGCTAGCCGTCTGAGGCATTTTCGGCACAACAAGCTCAGTAACAGGGCTCGACAGCTGACGCTCGGCTGCTAACCCCCAGCTACTTCTGATGCTGTGTCCAATGCATCAAAAGCAGGCAGACAGGACCGATACGGCTTGTTGACACGGTTCCTTTTGGACGGTGAGGCCCGCAGACCGTGGAGACCGAGCCGCCGGATCTTAAACCAACCCGCTAATGGTTTTGATTAAGCTGCATATGACTCAGGTAGGCAGCCTGGTTAATTATCTCACATTTAAGCACCTTTGGTTGGGTTTTGGTGATGCACTCAGCCGCTTGTCAGGCTCCCCAGCTTTGAGGAACAGTCCTGTCATCTTGCCAAATTGTACAGCTGTCAGCTTGGAATATCGGGTCTGATTTACCACCTTTACTGCAGGTAAGTGGTCTGGCGATAACTGCAGGATTTAGTCTGCACTGGTGTTGAAGCAGTGTCTGATGTGGGTCAGGATCAGTGTTTTTGTTTGGACTGGATGTTAAAAATATTAGGATAATTTTGATATTGTTGTGAAACAGGCCAAATAGCTCGTTTAATTAAATAATTCAGAAAAATATAATCACCAATGTGCTGCTTTTTGGAAGCACAGCCTTTACAGCAGTAACCAATTACATTTAGAAATTCAGCCCAACTTGAAAATTATCATCATGAAAGTAAAAGTGTTTACATTTGTTTATCTGATACTATGGTGAGTTCACTAACAACTCTATTGGATTTTTAAAAATCTGTTTCAATCAGTGATGCATGATGAACCCTCCCATACATTTAAACTTTTTTTTTATTGGCCAGTTAATCTGATATATTCTTAATTCTGGCTGATTTAGATTTACTTATCTGAATGTGTTTTGCTTTAAATATCTTGAGTTCACATTTTAAGGAGACACTGGTTTACACCAGTTAATGGCAAAGAATGGTAGATTAGTGGTAATTAAATCCTAACTGATCCAGATACACTGTTGTCATATGCTACCCATAATGCATCACAAGAATTTCTCCTCATATTATCAGACAAAGCATTTAATTTTTTTGAGAATATTGCATAAAAGTATTTATTGAAAGGAAATTCTGATAAACTTAATAAACAAAAATTAAGTTGCATGGCTCTAAAACCATTGTAATGATGTTGATACAGAATATTTCCATGATAAAGGATGTTATTTCATGTCTGTTATAGTTAAAAACAACAGTCCAGTTTAGTTTTGACGGATTCCCAGCCTTTTAGAACATAATTTTCTTGTGAAGCTAAGTTTCCTAAAAATTAAAATTTTATCTGCTACATTTCTTGGATTTCAGGGCTCGTAAAGTGAAATCATTAATCTGTTTCAAACACTTTGTTGATAAAAGGAGCAGATTTGAATTTGATGGATTATTCAACAATAGCTTTATTTTCTTAAAATAAGCAAGAGACAATATTTTATAAAGCACCTCTAAAGATCAAAGTTACGAGGCGTTTGACGCAAGCAAACGTAACACTCGTCCACTGAAGAGGAGCAATTTTATTAACGCTGTAATGTAGCGGGATGAAATAAATCATTAGCATTTCTAATTAGAGCAAAGGTACATGACATACACAACGTCTTCTAAAGGTAATAAAATCGCCACCACTACTGGTGTTGCTACATCTATGAATACAAGTATCTCTGTTTATGTTGGCTAACGAGGTAAATTTACAGAGGCGACTCTTCGTTCTCTGCCATGACGCGCTTCCTTGAAGGTGCTCGTGCATCGCGATGTGCTCCCGTGAATTGAGAGTTTCACTTTGTTTGAACTCTACATGCCTTTCTTCTATCTTTGTATAATGCTCCTAGCGTTTGAGCTATGTTGCCGACTCGCCGTGTCTTCTTTCTCCAGTGACGAAGGCTGATCTGTGTGGCCTACTACTACTGCGCTTGCGCCTCGAAGCTGAATGCAGCAACTGACCTGGATGGCGACTACTAAGGCTGAACGATGTTAGGAAAAGATTGAATTGCAATTTTTCTAGCAGAAATTGTGATTTCGGTTCAAGTCACGATTTTCTGCTAACAAAGGTCCAACACTGGCCTGCCAAGCCATCCTGTAGATTAAGTGAAAAGATGGCCTAGATTCTAATCTAGTACAACAAATCATTTACATTGTTGTTTACTGTTCAATCATACAATAAAAACAGTTAAAGCTATTAATATTTTCTCCCATTATTATCTTTTTTTTATGTGGTTGTGAAGCAACTTGTACTTGTGATTTTTATCTAGAGAGGAGCTTTATAAAAACATGTTCTACTCCAGCTTTTAAATGTATTAAATAAAAAAATGCACACAGTTTTCCCTGCATTACGGAGGCAGGCTGGCTGCACGTTTATCGAAGCCGTCTGATAGTTTTTCCTCACTTAAACGTCGGCTCCGTGAGAGAGACGCACGCATTCTGACACCTTAGCTTGTTTGAATTAACGTGCGCCGTCAGAAATATTCAAACCATTTTTAAAAGAGAAGTTGAGCTTTCAAGTCAACTAAAGTGTGCGACTCAGCACTCGCGCTGATGAAGCGAAAACCAAGCTCTAGAAGTCAGCCTGAACCTGCTGATGTGGGAGGAGTCTCTCACTCTCATACCTAACTACGTTCTCTCTCTGTGTCCCGGGCTCACCTACGTTGCCATCATTATCGGCTCTAGCAGCGCTGTGTGTGGGAACATAAAACAGGGACAATAACCTGAACATGCAGCTCTGTCAGCTGTGGAGCTGGGATCAGCTCTATGTGGTATACCACACTAGGGCTGAACCATTTTGGAAAAATAATGTAATTGCGATTTTTTTCTTCAATATTGCAATTGCGATTTAATTCACAATTATTTTCTCAAGGGGCTTTTCTCATTTTTCAACTAACGGAAGCAAAAAAAGATCTATGTAACTTGTACTGAATATAAACAAGTTTATGTATCTACTAGGGATAGGTACCGAATTCGGTACTTTTTAAGGTACCGACC